CCGACACTCAACGCTACTAGTGATGGTATAGGGATTTGCGCCATATCCAAATCAGTAGCCTTGAGTTGAAGACCACCCACAGAGTTGTTGACATCGACGTCGACACCAAGCTTCTTGACTTTGACCAAGGACAAAAGACCCGGTCGATCATCGTCGGGTAAATACTTTGTAACTGTGGATAATCTTGCGACCTCTTCACCCAGTTCTGGAAGATAACTCAACTCGTGCAACCTACCAAGTTTGGCCTGCAGATCATCCACGGTAAGTCGGAGTACAGATCCTTGTTGTCTTTGACGAAGTAGAGTGTCAAGAAGGATATCATCGTCTTGGTCATACTTTGAATTCGATGGTGCGATTAATGCCAACAATCGATCTATATCGTTGTCCTTGGGTGCGTTCAAGAACTCAATGCGCGTCGTGGAAATTTCAATAGCGATGGCAGGATCGTCAACGGAATGCTTTAGATGTGGCCCTGACAATCTGGTCTTGTCAATACCAATGCCGATTCCTTCCTCGCGACTGATCAACTTCACAGCAGAAGTTTCAACTCCCACGCTGCATTCAGTGCCCACCAAGTCAAGAATCAACCCACCAATCCTAACATCTGCTTTGTTTGGCACTGCCACTGTTTGATCATCAGGTTCGATGGGCGTATTGAATTTCACGCCTTTCGTCTTTGGCTTTATTACTGGGCTGGAAGTGACTGTCGAGTTGGACGCCATCGAGCTACCAAGGTTGAGTACACTGCTCAATCCACCAAACCAGCTAAAAGTCTCATCAAGATGCTGTAGGTCAACCGCCACATGCAGGGGCAACGTATGGACCTCAAATCGAGTACTGTCATGACTTTGGTATATGTTGGCAGACACGTCGATGCCAGCAGAAGCAGCAAGATCACGAGTAGAAGCTCTCATTTGAAGACCCGCGTCAAAAGAAATTATATTTTCTTGGGCGTAGCCAAAAATGAACTTCTGTAGTGTTATGCTAGTCTTGATAGTATTGCCTGAAGGATCTCTAGAGACATTGAGCCCCTTGATTATGGTCTTGAGAAGAACATCCGAATCCGATGACTTCGTCTGTGGTTCTGCAATCCGTGAACCCGAAGTACCCTTAAGATGTTCCAAGAACTTAAGTGATACAGTTTGAGCACTAACCCTGAGATGAGGTTCAGGAGAGCTAGATGTAGGCTTACTTGACACAGTGGTCGCTTGTGTCTTCTTTTTCATAGACCCTTGGATCTGGCAAACAAGCTTATATATAAGTCTGCCCACAGATACATCAAATTGAGCCAGTAGATTTCCCACGTCAACCTCGATTGATTTGTTCTCTTCAGGCTTCTGCGGTGGCTGTACTGGAATTCTCGGTGTTGGTTTCGGCAACGACCGTGAATGCTGGTCTCTGGGTAGATGGGTAGAAAATGCCCCAGGGAGATCCATTGTATTTGATTGTGAGTCACTGTGGCCATCAAAAGTGCTGCCGAATAGTGCTGATTCAGCAGCTGCATCTACAGGATCAGAAGAAGGATCATTCATCGCCGGAATATAGATGGCAACTTGATCAAGACTGAAGATCTGCTTCGTCATTCGGTCATAGTCACCAGGAGCAACAGTAGACTTCACTGAGACATCGCTCGAAACTTTGTGTAAGAGCTGAGACTGGCGTGGAGTTTCCGGGCGAATGGAACCTATGCTTCTATTTGATGCATGTAGTGAGCTTGAGGGCAAGTTCGTAGATTGCTCAAGAAAACTAAGATCTGACGCGCCATCCGAAGGAATAGAATGGCGAGCATGTTCAAGATTGTCGAGCTTTTCCACTCGTGCATTATAGTCCCTTGGAGTAAGTGGTGGAGATCTTGCATCTTCGCTATCAGTGCCTGAATCTGCCCACCCGCCGGGGATTGGAGCAGCAGAAGTAAATGAGACCGCACTCATGTACATGCTCTCAGCCTCTTCGTGACTGAATAATTGAGACTGCGCAAGATCATCTCCAATTTCCTCATTGAAAGTCGAGCTGCTACTCTCACTCATAGAATCTTCCGACGGAACCCTAGACTGTTGAACTAGATAAGTCCGATCAAGTGGCGCGGTAGTGGGCGGAAGTGTCGGCTGTGAATGAGATATTCGCTCCACAGAGAATCTAGTATGAGCTCTGGGTGGTAGCATGGTAGATTGTAACATGTTGTGAGCTCTGTTAACGCTGTGGAATGCATTGAATTCTGGAGTCTGATTAGAGGGTGAAGAAATATGAGCAGAGGCCCTTGGCGTGGAAGTGCGTGAGTTTTCGCCAGGTGTGCTATGTTCAGATTGTGATAATGAAGATCTCATATCATCTCCCTCAGGATGATCCAAAAGTAGGGAGTCGGTAACTTGATCAAGAATTTCTGAGCTTTGAAGCAGGCTATCTCCCATCTCGCTGTTATCGATATCCCCGTGCTCGCTGCCGGAAGGACTGGAATGTCCATCTTCTGATGCATCATCAAATTGTCCACTGTCATTAGCAATAGTCGAGCCTTTAACCACTGGGGAGGTTTTCACGGGCCTCAAAGGTGGTGAAGGACGTCTTATTTCCGGCAGTGAGGATTCGGAGACTCGTAGTGACGAAGCAGGAGATGAGGGGGGGCTAGGGGATGCAACTCGATCAAATGCACCCATACTTTCCACAGATAAGGTTTGTGTTTCTTTTGATGATCGCTTTTCTGTAGCCCGCTTGGATTCGGTTACGTCAGAGTGCGGAGGTATTGGCGATAGAACGGAGGATGATCGAGAGAGAGTCTGGAATAAATTTGCCTCTGTGATAAGTGCTCCTTGAATATTGCTGAGACAGATGAGTCTCTTTCCCTCCTTGAATAAAGATGTTATGTCCTTCCCTCCTCTCGTCTGGGTAGACTCAATATCATGTGTAACTCCCTCGATATCGACATCGTCAATCTTCAGCTGCACTGTTACCGGATCCGTGGTACGGTTTGGCGTCGGTCTTTCTGCAGGAATATCAAGATCCACATTGAAGGTAATCCCATGCACCCGTACTTGTAGCCTGTCCACAATGCCCTGCAAAAATCTAGCCATGAATGCCGGTAACGAGAGAGCCGTCCCAGTCCCAACAGGCGAATCTCCTCCCTCATTAGATGTAACAGACTCTGATACATCCTGCGTCTCCCCAAGAATTGCGGCTTCCAACTCTTCTTTCTCTTCTCTCGATTCCGTTTGTAGAAATGATGCCGCGAGGTCCTCTGCAGTTGGAAGTGTGGGATCTGGGCCCTGGTTTCTCGATAACGACTTCTTCCTTAACCTGTCATGGTTCGTCCGTGAACTATATGCACCCTTCTCCTCCCTAACCCTCAACTGCACATCCACTCCATCAACTTCGACCAATATCGGGCTGCTATATATATCGACCGGTATCGTGAGCCGCAGCAGTAAAACTTTCGCTTTACTTAATGCGATCGTGGAAGGAAGTTGTAGTAAAGTCTCGAGTTTCTAAACCTCGCACATTAGCATGATATCCTCATCCTCGACGTCAAAATCATGAAATAACTACCTTTAACCTCAATCCAACATCCTTAAATTCGAACGTGCTGTTTTTCCCCCACGCAATATCCAAATTCTCTAAATCCAATGCATCCGTCTCAAAGACTTCCAAACTAGAAAGCGCATATTGAAGTAATCGTTTGGGCATCGAGGATAATTGAAAATAAGACGCCATTGTTGCTTGCGACTTCGTTATGCAAGGGATTATTAAAAGCTATTAAAAGAAATCAACGCCTCTAAGCAATAATGTCTTAAAGAACACTGATAAGAAAGAAAATAAGAAGTTTCGGCGTATTTGATGGATGGTTTTATCTTAAGAAGAGGAAGGGCGGCTCCTGACGTCGACCTCGTGCACTGATATTGTCCGGGGCAAGATGGGAATCATACTTGACCGTACCCTCAGATCTTAAAGTCGCTACGGTTCCAATATATCAATAATGATCGGTGAATGTATTGGCCAACGGACCTTTGCCACTGTTGATGAAGATTCCCTACCGTAATGGTAGGTACTTTGAATGGTTCAGTGATGGGTTGTAGGTAGAAAGGGTTGATTTAGGTAGATAACCTAGGATGGATGTATGTGGGTTGCGAGGGCGAGTGATTCCGGGCGATATCCTTATCGATAAGAGGCCACTAAACTTCCTCGTGCGGGTATGGCTTACTGGTACTGACGTGGATTTATCCAAGTACACAGCATTGGCTGAATGATTGGATGCGGTTTCCTTGTCGAACCAATTATTATATTCTACATATGTTGGGATTCTACGAGGTATTTCTCCTGTGTTTTAGAGCCTACGAGATAATCATCATGCAGAGATTTCTGGGGTTTGTATATTGTAAGGGCACTCTTGTTCTATATTAGGTTTATAGAGAACTATACCTATGTTTTATATATAAAGCTAACCTCATGTGTTTTGTTAGTGTCCATATATGATCATATGATATGATCTGAGTCTCTTTGATGTTTGGGAAGAAGGTTTAGAAGGAGGGTCTGAATAGAAAAAGCTTTTGAAAGGGAGAAGGAAGAAAAGAGAGAGGAGGAAAAGTATTCTATACAAGGCGGGCTCTAAAACCTATATACAATGACTATATGTACAACGCACACCAGAATTGTTGTGATTCAAAGTGTAGAGCACAAATCGTACAAGTAGGATTACTATAGGTAGATAGTTCCATAATCACCCTCGTGCATGACTATAATGTATGAGGAAACCTTGGAACCTTGGAGCTATTTAACTTCCGTACAACTACACAATTGCGTGGCACTAGCTGAAATGGAACAAAAGCTTCGAAATAAGTTATTTTTATCTGGTTTCTATATGTGTGATTATAATGTTGAATTTCGACTTCCAGTCGAGGGTATCGTGACCCTCCTTAATCATGACCTAAATCGCCGTGTTGAATGCACATGCTTCCCTAACGCAAAACCCATCAACTCCGAAAAGGACAATTTTATCATCGGTCATTTTCAATTCAATCCTGAGCAGCCAACGGACCATCCCCATCTTCTCTGATTTTTCTCGCACTATCCTCATCATCTCCAAACTCCGTTACTATCCACAAACAAAATTGTTCCCATTCCACGCTCCATTCTTGCAATCTCTTCGCCCTCACACCGTTACCCATGGAAGCTTCCTTAACATCCTCTAACCATTTGCCAGCGCTTTGATCCTCGAACGCTGCCCATCTTACACTATTTTCAGCCAGCGAACCTAAGCCAGCAAGTCCAAGATTATCCCAGCCTTGCAGAGCTTGCCAGAAATCATGTGTCATACCATTAACATCCTGACCAAGAATCGAAGGGTCATCGTTACAGAGAGAGCAGGAAACGCCTCGTGCGAGAAGCGCTGGTAGAGGATGTGACATGATCGAAGCGCAAAGGCGAAGGACCTCGTTCGAGATTGGACAACTTTCCACGAGGATTTTCTTTTCCTTGACCAAATCAATCAATAAAGGATGCTTGTATAAGGAAAATCCATGACCAATGCGACGAGTTCCGAGTAGAACAGCATCGAAGAGGTTCTGATCAGTATCGCTGCCATCACCAAGACATTCTCCTGCATGAAAGAAGAAAGGTATTTCGACTCCTTCTTGCGCGCACTGTTTCTTGAACCAGAAAAGCTCTGGCAAAAGGTCTTTTAATGGTCTTCCAGCATCTTCTTGACCAACAAGATCATATCCGGATATGAGATCCGGATAAGTCATCTTGATTGTTAAACAAGCATCCATATCTTCTACGATCTTTCTTGTATCCAAAACTCGAAGACCAGTCCAAATCATCCTTGCTCCCCAGAATCCCTTACCCTCTTCTGATGCCTTAAACTTCTCGATTTCCTCCCCGAAAACTTTGAACATATTGCTGTATGTATCATCTGCTTTCTCTTGACCTTCACGATAGTAAAAAAATGTGAAAGCCAGTCGTAGATCAACCCATTTGACGCCATCAGCAAGTAAAGTCTGCATCATTCTCTTCATGAATGCCTTGAATATAGGCTCATAGAAGATGACTGTGTTCAAAATCGTAAAGACCGAAGAGAACTTTCTCCAAACTGCATCAACACCGTGATGATGTTCGATAGATTCAGTATCAGTAATAGTGCATCGACTTCGAAGCCAACGCAAGAATCCCTCTCGTCCACCTTCAGGAAAAGCGTCCGCAGCATCCTTCAAGGGCACAAAGCTGAATGGTTTATACCCCTCCTTCCAAATCTCTGCACCTTCTCCATCTCCCTTCTTCCTGAACCTAAACTTAACGGGGCCCGCCTCCCTATTTTCAGGCGAATCCAAAGCTCTATCACAGAAAATGCACATGCCCTCTGTTTTCAGCATTTCTTCAAACAAGAAATCATAGTCGACCATCGCATCCATATGCGCATGCAGAAGCGCGCCCTTAGGCATCTTCTTCACAATCTGCCATAATTTCGTCTTCTCCATCCTTTCCTTTGCCAGACTAAACATCATACCTGGATATATATTCTTCCCCGTTTCTTGCGCAACATGGTTCTCGAATTCTGAGGTCCACGTCGAGGCTTGTTCTTCGAGACGGATTCGGGAGACGATGTTGCAGGCTTCTTGCGCAAGAGGTGAGAGAGCGGATCTGAATGCATAATCTATTGTCAAAAATACAAGTCAGTGAGGAAATGATAGTATATAAGGACATTACGAACCACTGCGCTGCTGTTTTTCCTGGTCTATAAGTGCTTCTCTTCCACCAATGTACTTGTTAATGAACGGTTCATCTTTCGCAGGAAGACCAGCAGCTATTTCAGCATATTCATCGTCTGGTATTGTGGATGGCCATGGGAGGTCGCTGACTCTATTGGACATGATTGTAGAGCAATTTGACTTGACTGATGGATTGTTGACATATAAGAGCTTGATGATAGGAGAGGCAGAATAGCTAGGTAAGCTTGGGAAGTGGCTAACACAACTATTTGAGTATCTGAAAGCTCAAACAGTGGACACAAACTAATTTCTAATTATCTCCTCACTCCACTAACAAATCTTCAAATATCAATCTCAAATCACTTTGGTATAATGAATCGTCGCTAAAGATTACAGAATAGGTAGGTAGTTGGTGTTACACCAAAGCAGGAATGGGGGATGGCGGGGTCCTTCCGATAAGAGCGATAAGCATTTGGTAAGATTTTCTAAAATTACCCTTATCCCTTGATGAGTGGGAGCGAATTGGTTTGGCTACATATATGTTACGTATTGGTGTGACCTTCAAAAGTAGGATTAACGTTCTTATAATATTCTGAGGGTATTCATTCGAGCTCATTCATTATGGCTTTAAATTACCGAGTACGAAATGAATCCAATGCATCAAATATCACTGGTTCACTGGTAAGAACTAGTCGACCGCTTGAAGAGCCGAGTATTAGTTGAAGAAGATTTCTTAGTTGACCTACCGCAGCTCAGGTGTGCTGATGAAATATTAAGGGTGCTGCATACATTCTTTTGGAGTCCGCGGAAGTGGGAGGGCAGATACAAAAGGGAAATCTCACATTACCAGAGAATCCACAACAAGTTCGGTTATTCTTCTCCGGTCATCGAAAGCGTACTAAATATAAAGTCTGAGAGAACCATATTATATTATACCACACTCAGCTCTATAGCTCTAATTATACCATCCCAATCTTGGAATGCTTTAATGACGTGCTGTTCTCCCAATATTTCTGTCGCTGTATCCAGATGATCATCTATAACATACTCTTTGGCATGTTTTTGAGGGCCTGTCTCACTCCCAAATCGCCCAATACCTCCTCGGCTCCACCTAAGATAGCATCGAATTTGTACCTTTAAGATATTAGCAAGATGTTTTCCCAGTCAAAGCTTCCCATAGCATGGATACTCACGTTCTATGGAACATCTCAATGGTTCTTCCCATCCCACTCTGAGTAAGTGCACGTCCACCAAAAATCTGCACAGCTTCATCTGCACATTCATGAGCTGAGCGGGTAGCGAACATCTTAAGGAGACCAATTGGACCTGCGAGATGAGTCGCTTGTTGTTTGTATGGCATCAAGGTCATCTGATATGTGATATTCTCTAACCATGCTTGGTTCGCCTCACAGTGAGATATCATCTTAGCAAGCCTAGAAAGGTCAGTTGGGTGTTTCATCTGCACTTGAAGGAGCAAAACTTACTTTTGTCGGATGACTGGCTGATCAGTCAATTTCTTGCCAAATACCAATCGTTGATTACTCCACTTGATACACTCCTCTGTTGCTAGCCGCATCATGCGAGTGACACCACTAGCCATCATCCATCTTTCATGGTTGAAGTTACTAAGGATGACGTGGATACCCTTGTTCTCTACTCCCAAGAGATTCTCAACTGGTACCTTTACGTTATCGAAAGTGACATAGGCAGTTCCAGCTGTGGGTGAGTAGGAGGTTTTTATTGGTGTTGTCTCTACACCCTCACCTCTTTCAATCAATACGACAGACAGACCCTTATCTAGAGAGTTTGTTAGTAGGTGATTGAGCATGAGAAGTGATATATAATAGTACCTGTTTTAACACCAGTTACGAAGTAATCGCAAAAGACTCCGTTAGTGATCCATTTCTTAGTACCATTTACGATATAGTGTTTGCCATCTTTGGTTTTCTCTGCCGTTGTTCGAATACCTGCGACATCAGATCCGGCAAATGCTTCGGTAATAGCCAAACAAATTTTCTTCTTCCCACTAAATACCTCTGCGGCAATTTTGTTCTTCCATGCCTCATCGTTGGCGAATTGAAGAACTGCCGTCAGGGAAATGGTCATACCAGCCTGAGATTAAGTGTTAGCCATGCATTGAAATATAGAGTAGACTCTGCCTAAAAACATGGATTTATAACTAACCATATTACCGTCTTGAAATCCTCTTGCATTAGCGCGAACCATCTCCTGTCCAACGATCATGTCATGAAAATAATCGAACTCCTCCCCCTTCACTGCGCCATCCATAAGGTTAACACCATGTAAGTGTTTCCCTGGGCCCAGTCTCATATGTAAGATCCCCATCTTCGACATTCGATCAATCAAATGTTGTGGAATATGCGCCCCAGTTCTTTCACACTCCTGAGCAACAGGTGTCACATATTGATCCGTAAAAACTCTCATTGCCTTTTGCAACCTCCTATGACTTTCATTATAATAAGGACTCTTAAATTGTGGAGTTAACCATGTAGGTTCTCCGTATGGTACGACACTCAAATCCCCGACATTCTGTTCAATAACTTGCGATTTCTCGCCTTCAATTGTGCCAATACATAAATTCGAGTATTTTTGTAGGACTTCTTGTCGATGTAGGTTATAGAATGCTTCGGTTGCGTCTGTGCCGGCAACTTGTTTTAAGACGGATTCTCCTCCTGGGTGAGCATCGACGAATTCAGTGACATCGTAGACCTTGCTGTCGATTATAAACCAGAGAGATTCCTCGGTGTTATTTTTGGAGACTTCGTCTCGTGTGAGGGTGTGGTGAGGCATTGTAATGTGTTGGAGGTAAGTGAATGGATGATAGTATATAACTTCGGCGCGAGATAAGACAATAAATGAGAGAATAAGAGCATGAAAGGAGAAGAAAGGAGAGATACAGATTCAACATAACCTGGGGATCCGGAACCACTGGAACGCGTCGTGATTACTACTTGCAGTGGGGAATGTACCGAAACCTGGGGAACGGGGGCAAAATACCGAGGTTCAGTTAACCAATTAGCGTTCTCGAATTACTAGCATCTCCGGACTGCAATCCAAAGCTTTCGGATATTTGAATTGTACACTTCACTTGTGTGAATTCAATGTTTCTTCTCATCAATTCGTACTCTCGTCACTGGCGTCAGATAAGTACATTGCAATGAGGTGGGTAGTATTAGCTAGAGACACACCAAATTCAACCGTACTGCGGTATCGTCGTATATCCACAGAGCATTGCGTAAGTTTTACTCATACCTCACCAGGACGAAGTGTACAAATATGCACGTTTTCAACCCGAATAGAGGCTCACCGGAGAAACCACGAATTAGATATCAAATAAATTCATTGTTGTTGTTGTTGAAGGCCATCATAAGTCTATGAAAATGCTTTGTCCATTTCTGGCTGATGTCAAGTTCTAACTTTCTTCCAATTCTATTCTAATCATCACCTGCAGAAGGAGTAGGGAGTACATGTGGAATGTGTATTATAGTATCGCTTAGAAGATTAGTCCCTCATTTACAGATACTGTATAGCCCCGATGAGATTTTGCGGGGTATACTTACCTAAAGGTCGAAATCGAGAATTCTAGTCTTGATCATGGCAATCGACATATTCCTCTTCGAGACAACAACAAGGAAGCTGACGAAGTGCGAACGCGGAGAAGAAAGAAAGTACCTCGGATGAACCACTTAACCTACCAGGTTGTCTACCAGATCGACCAATCACATCTTGTGTATCGTATCCATAAAATCATCGCATCTGATGTGCATCTCTACTATTGGAATTTGAAATCTAGTGATTTCTATTTGCGTGTATTATACGTCCAGTTTGCACTCTAGATTCTCACTTCTGTTTTATTCTCGTGGCAATAGATGCCGGATAAAAGAAATGGATATAACTGCGACCCCAATGAAGTCATTCACTATTCAGATCTTGCTCAAATTGGAACAGTTTCCGATGCATACCAAGCCGGGGATTGGCCGAGTTCAGAGCAGTGGCTTTGGAGGGGCGCATCAATAGCTTCTTTACATGTTCCCCGCGTTCACTGAAAGAATATGGGGTATATAATTCTGATTCTGCCTGACAACCCTTCAAGATGATTCATTGATCGTTGCGGGAACGATATTTCAAGCTGAAGTGTCTGTCTTTGAAATTGAGCAATATGCATTTCCAGGGTATCACCACATGGCTCTTGATCTCTCTCACTGTGGCCCTGCCTGCTCCGGAGAGACGTCAATTGGCACCTATAGTTCAAATATCACATGCCAAAATCATCGGGTCCAGCACATCAGGAATTGACACATTCAAGGGAATTCCCTATGCTCAACCGCCCACGGGATCTCTCCGCTTGAAACCACCCAAAAGTATCATCAAAGACTTGGGAACTATCCAAGCAACCAATGTCCCCACAGCCTGTCCCCAAGGTTCCGCCTCCGGTCCTGTCGGCGAAGATTGTCTAACACTTAACATCCAACGCCCCTCAAACATCACCGGATACTCTAAACTCCCTGTGCTCTTCTGGATATATGGCGGCGCTTTCGTAGGCGGCTCCACTCAATCTTTCGATGCAACACAACTTCTTCAAACTTCCATTTCTAGTTCCCAGCCTTTCATCTACGTAGCTGTAAATTATCGTCTCGGAGGTTTTGGGTTCCTAGCCGGTTCCGAAATCCTCAACGATGGATCTTCTAATCTCGGCTTATTAGATCAGAGATTAGGTCTCCAATGGGTCGCCGACAACATCGCTTCTTTTGGAGGCGATCCCAATAAAGTCACCATATGGGGCGAATCCGCAGGTTCAATTTCAGTATTTGATCAAATGGCTCTTTATGGCGGCCAATACCATTACAAAAACAAGCCCCTATTTCGCGGCGCAATCATGGATTCCGGCTCCGTCACTCCCGCTCAAACAGTCGATAGTCCGCGCGCCCAAGCAGTATACGACCAAGTCGTGCTCGCGAGCGGCTGTCAAAATTCCACCCACACACTCAAATGTCTCCGCGCCCTTCCTTACGAAACGTTTCTCGCTGCAACCCTCACTCCCCCCTCCTACACATCCTACACTTCCCTCGCACTCTCCTATCTCCCACGCCCAGACCACAAAAACGGCGTTCTCCCCGCCTCCCCCGAAATCCTCGCTTCCCACGGCCAATTCGCCCCCGTCCCCTTCATAATCGGCGACCAAGAAGACGAAGGCACATATTTCGCTCTCGTCCAAACAAACCTCACCACCACCTCCCTCCTAACCAGCTACCTCCAAACCATCTTCTTCCCCTCCGCTCCCCCCTCCAAAATCGCCTCCCTAGTCGCCGCCTACCCCGACGACCCCTCCGCCGGCTCCCCCTTCAACACAGGCACAAACTGGAACATCTACCCGCAATACAAACGTCTGGCCGCCCTCCTCGGCGACATCGTCTTCACGCTTTCCCGCCGCCTCTTCCTAAACTACTCATCCCAGATCCACAAAACCGTAAAAATGTACTCCTACCTCTCAAGCTACGGCTACGGAACCCCCATTCTGGGCACCTTCCACGGAAGCGACATCGGTGTCGTCTACGGCCAATCCCTCGGGTTTCCCCAACAATCAATCCAAAAATACTATCTCAATTTCCTGCATACTCTCGATCCGAATCTCGGCGCGAATCATCAATATGCCCGCGGTGGTGATAATCACAATTCCCACCCCAGCACAAATACAACCGCAAATACAAATACAACGCAAACCCTCACCTGGCCCCCCTGGACCCCACAACAAAAACAACTTCTCAATTTCCAAGCCGCGCAGAATGTATTGATCACGGATGATTTTAGACAGACACAGTATGAAGTGATTAAGAGTGTAGTGGGGGTTTTGCATGTGTGAGCGAGGAATGAGACAGGTGTGCGAAGTGCGGGGTTGTTGATTTTGGGTATTTGGTTATGTTTACCAATGAAGAAGCGAAGGGAGAATAGGGATGACGAAGAGAATGGAGAAGAGAAGGGGGGATGCTTGTATACTGTATACTATATACACCACACTAATAGAGTGTTGGCATCACGGTGATATTTTGCGCATAGTAATGCCTAGACTACCGATAACCAGATAGGGAAAAGTATGTCGTTCTTAAAGCTTTATTTTCAATAGTGATATAACACTCCACCTCACTTGAGTACAGATGTTGCCAGCTTTTCTTGTAATTTATGTTGATTTGTTCGCTAAAATCTGTCTACAGATGTGTGAAGAGTAACAAACGTAAGTTGGTGAAACCTGCACCATGGTATATATATGCCTCGTCCCCAGTCCCATTGCCTTGTTCCCAATCCCTTACCAAACCCATTCATACCCCAATTTGTACGCTAAAAATCAGAGACTACCCAAACACCATCCATTTATCCACGCCGGGATTTCATAAAATCATAGTGTCCAAGCATATATCAACTAATTCTTCTCATCTTCGACCTCCGCTTCATGATTTTCCCATCTTCTCTTAACCATTCGGACCCATCTTCTCCTTCTCCATTCTCCCCTCCTACCAGCCCCGTCAACCTCACTCGCTTCCTCCCAACTAATCGGTACCCCTTTCTTCCCCCTCATACTTCCTAAATTACTAGTACTCCCCGTATCCATCACGCCTACAGGATCCTCCTCTTGCCCCTCGTACCTGATGTCATAAACCCATCTTTCGCCCTCTGTTTCCACCTCTACACCTGTAATAATCCTTTCTTCAACCCATTCCCTACTCCACAAATCCAATGCCCATTTCTTTTCGCTCCACTCCCAACCTCTTGGGCTCTTTACATCCTCGAAAAAGCGACATCCGATTGGCCGCCCAGTTTCAATTCGCATACTACTCATAGGATCATAAGGTGAGCTGCTGAATACAAAATGTTCCCACTCGCCTGCACGGGAAAGTTTTTGGAGCTCGAAGATTTCTACTTCGCGGGTTTCGGGAGAGGAATCGAGGATGATGTCATGAGAAATGAAGGTTTCGAGGCTAGTTTGGAGGGGTTTCGCGCGCGGTTGTACGACTGTCGTATGTGTTGTGATCATTTGGCGTTGAATGGTTGGATGACCGAGAGATGTGATGGTCCAGCCTATTGTGAGGAAGATAAAGCGCCATGGCATGAGATGAGAAGCGATGAACATAAACGCTGCTGTTACTACGAGGAAAAGAAACAGAGTAGATGACAGTGGTTCGTTGGAGAAATTTGTAGAGGGAGATATTAGGGCAATTACTGTGTCGTGGAGGCGAGAAAAATCTTCCATGCAGTTTTGGAGATCGCGCATGTTTCGGAAGAAATCCTTAGAAAGCTCTTTAACGGGTTTGACAACTGGCGCCGGAGCTATTGGTGGGCCTGTTGTCGAATATGTGAACGAGTCTGTAGTTATAGTTGTAGGAGGTGCGGGGTGACGAGCAATGAAAGAAGGTATGAGGATTGCGAGGAGAAGAACCGCTAATGGAAGAACGGTAAGAAGATATGGATCTAGGCAGACAAAAGTATATACTGCAAGAAATGAGAGAGTATGCGACCATTGTTTCCAGCTTAGTAGACGTATCACTTTGGCTTGGAAGACGAAAACCACTCCTATTCTTGCATTGAATCTTCTGAAATTATTCGACATGGTCGTTATGTTGAAAGCAGGTCTCTCAACAAAATTTGGAGGGGCAGTAGTCGCATCTTTTCCATTTTCGCCAAGGTCTTCAACTGGTATTACCTGTTGTAGTAATCTGTTGTAATCAGTAGAGTCCCAAGATGACAAACGTCGCAATATGGAATTCCGACGTACTTTTCAAGTAATCTATCTTGTACAGTTGCCGAAGTCTCCGAAGCTTTACTGTGTGCCTTTTTGAAATTTTCCTTCAACTCCGATTTGTGTCTTCTTAGTCTTTCTCGCGCCCCCTCTCTCTTAGATACTCCATTTGTATCTTCGGCATCGTCATCAAGGTCGTCTGTGTGATCGAATCTTATCACCGGGATAGAATCATCACGATTCGCAAACGCATTTGCCGTAAACTCATCCATCTTCTGAGACTTTTTGAAGTATTGGGCCTCTTCGCGGAAATTGAGGGGTTGTTTCTGAGTTGGGATTCCAACGATCCTTATAAAGATCAACGAGGGGGTGATCTATTCATAGAAGAAACGGTTCAGTCGCAGTGTTTCGTTTCTTTACTGATAATAAGGTTCCAGCCCATGTGGTGAGTGAATAACATGCTTCAAATTAATTGAAAAAGGATTCCAGTTGTGAAAATTTAGTTGAGGTTTGGCCAATTCTACAATGTTTGTCTACGAAGCTCAAACATCTTGGTGTTTGAAGTTGACGCGCTTAGCGATCGATGAACCTACCTGCGGAAAAAGAAGGCATGACGTTTTTGCCGCCGACCACCGACCACCGACCACCCGCAATTGGGCTGAAGGGGTTGAATTTCGGACTTGACTTAATTTCGACTAAATCGAAAAAATAAATTCCCTTCGTTCCGTCTTACCGTTGTAATAGACTTCTTATCCACGTAAGGAGCTATAATTTAAGTTTATTGGGTATGTATTGAAATACGGGATCAGTCCTTTTGCGATTCGGGAATCAATTGCAGATTCCCCAGAAATCACAGCAAATGGTCCTGGGATTGAGGAAAACGGCAATAAATAAGTATAAAACGCTGGTAATCCATGATCAAATTAACGGCTAGATGATACCGCTTATGCTGTTGTGTGACCCCTTTTTGCAAGCTCAAGCTATAAATTCTACATGAAGCAGTACAGTACCATGCTTTCGTTCGTACCGAAACATTTTGTGAGAGTACGAAGTGCAATACCAACCAGTATGTGCAGCATCATATCATGGCTTCAGACCCAAGTCAGTTTTGGTCGTTGAAACATGGTTTTAGCCTTGATTAATCTTTTCACTGGGTAATCTTCTTATCATTCGGATTCTTTTTCTTACTCAAAACATTGCCTGCACGTGTCAGGGGCTCACAAACTAACAAGCAAGAAGAAAGGCAACTGGCTTGGTCTTACCTACCGACCTGTTAGTATTTGGTGACGGAAGCAGGTGATGCTTTGATGGATGAAAACAGCATCTTGGAAAAAAGGGGTGTGACATCCTGTTTGCATTGTTGTACATTCGCTATGCTTTAGGTGGATCTGTACCTCACAGAATTTGGTGTCTAGATACTCCCTACATGCGATATACATTAGTGGAGGAATTAGTTGGTGTTGCCATGGTGTACAAAATTTGGAAGCCGAGTAGGGCAGAGACCTTCATGGAGCATAGTCTCCATAAGATTGCATATATGAGGAATAGGAATTTTCGAGAGGGGAGGAGAGGAAGAGGGCTCACTCGGCACAAATCCAGATGAGATTAAACTTTGGAGAAGAGGAAAGTCTGTTGTTTACTGGTAATCCAGCTTCCACTTGCGATATCGATTTGTGTACTAGATAGAATTAGATACCCAGATACTTTTGCCTAGGTATCAACTCACATACTGGGTACTCGAGCACTAACTGCAGAAACCCTACACTCATAATCTTACCAGCCCAATTTGCCGTGTATCAATTTGTATGCTGCGGAGCAGATAGATTGAGAAATCCATACGTCCCATCATTCACATAATATGCCTTCACGCCCAATAATCATCTTGGATCATTAGACATACCACGATATCGAGCACTCTTCAACCTTGACCTTCCCCCACCAGACCATCGATATTTGATGCTCGGTATATACTACATACAGATGACTCGCCCCCGTAAACAATCTATCCATCCATCCATCCATGGGTGTCCTCATCAATCAACGATATCATTATCAAATAATCCTTCCCTATAGCGAGGAAGCATTGAAAGCACTGACAGTGGTAATAAAGTTGTGATTGCATTGCTTGGGTCTCCTGGAAAGAGTTCGTCGTCTTGCAGAATTTGTGATTAGCTTTATTGATGGTCTCAAGATAGCTACAAAGAGAAGAAGATGTGAGGGGTGAGGGAGGCGTTGTTGTTCGAGGTGCAGACTCAAGAGTGAATGAGATAACAAGCCACCTTGACCGCCGAGATGATCAAAATTCATCACCGTACCTACTACGGCCTCTACCTTAACAAGTCGGGAGTATCTAGCATTCTAGTATTCTATTTAACCCGGACTACATTTGATTAGTTTGGGTCATTGAATGGATTTTGGACATTTCTTTCAATCTTGATAGGCTCAACATATTTAAGTGCACTCCATCTTACTCAGGTGTACCTTTGTTTCATTGGTTCGTTGATGGGATTTGGATGGTTTTGATGATTTTACGATTTCACGATTTTATTGTTGCATCTATGCCAATTTTGATAGGTTCGAAAGTCATCTCGTTACATGTGGTGTGGGAAAAAGAAAAGAGACTGCCCTTCCTGCGTACGTACTGTACATACTACTCGTACATACTACTCGTACATAAACATAACGGCACCAAAAGAAAAGGACCCCAGTCTTCTCGTCTTCTAGTCTTCTGGTCTTCTAGTCATCTAGTCATCTAGTCTTCCAGTCGCCCAGTCCTCCAGCCCATTCAGTCTCCAAGCACAGTCACCCACTCACTCACGCACTCACGCACTCACTCACTCACTCCATCCATCCAGAATCTAGATCCACTTTTTGTTTCTATAGGCAACGGAAAAGACCTTGACCATAAACCCCCAACCCTTACCACCCTGACTTCCCTGAGCCACCTCGAATCTCTAAAAGGTACGGGAAACATCAAGCTTTTATCCCATTCGCAGTACCAGTAACCAGTAACGGGAACGTACAGGTACAGGCTTGCAATCCATCCCCCAAATATTGTTCAACTTCTATTAGTCTATCTGCAGCCTCAAAAGAGACTGACTCTCTATACAATAAAAAAATACAACATCCACCGCTACCTTCATTTCACCACTAAACACAATCCACGAACCATTCCTCGAGATATATTCCAATCTTCGAATACAAAAAGAGGATACCATCAATTGACGCGCTTTATTTCTGTGGAGAAGGAAAAAAAAAAAGATCTTGACTCTCGAGAGACACTGATAGCTTTCCTCTACATTTGACTGGGTTACCATTTACAACGACTTCCCTGTTTACTAGTTATACCCTACGACGGCCATTTGAAATGAGATAGTCTATCGACAAACTCGGCCCTTAAACGGACTGAGCTCAAGGAAAAAGCAAAATCCTTTACTCGAGATTAATTTCTGTCGCTGGCTTCCCCCAGTGACTTTAGTTCCTTATTCATGATTCGGGAACAGAGGGCTCCTTCAGGTCCACGACCTGACCTTTCACCCACAAGACAGTAAGATTCACAACCTTCAAGAGGGGAGCCATTCGAGGCGCTCATATTCACTAACACTCTTAACAGAAGGATTTCTGAGAACTATCCTCCCAGTGTAGGCACCGGAGGTTCGCGTCTGATAGCTGGGACAGAGCCTACACTGCATGCTCCACAACGAAACAATCATACTTTATTTACATTTGGGGGTCACAACGACGATAATTCGACTTCTTACGACTTTTTGCCTTCTCCCAGTTTTGACGACCTGCAAACTAGCATCTCCAATGAACTACAGCTTACAGCACAATATCCGGCAACAGGTGGGGGAGATTCAATGCCGAGAGAGAAGCCTTCAATGGGGGAAATTAAAGCATCTATGAATAATGGGCGAGGTATAGGTTCTGCGCGTGGAGTGTCCGGACCACGACCCGCGAGAACCTCCTCTTTTCAACGTAGGCAGAGTGTGAGCAATCGTCAAGGTAGCATATCTTCAACAACTTCTTCAACTGCATCGGGGAATATGGACCCACCATCTGCTCCTCTAGCTGTTCGAACCCGACGAAATCAATATCCTCCGATATCTGGAAGTGCTGCCTCCAATGCGCCTGCTGCTAGGATACCGCGCAGATCTGTAGGAGGTGCTGAGTCGGATGGCTCGAGCAAGGCAGGGGCCACACAAAGACGACGTCCGAGTCTTGCTCCAAGTACATCATTACAATCTTTGTCGGATGCTGCCAATGCATCTGCAAGATTGAATCATACAGGGGTTCCAAGTTATATGGATGGAGCAAGAGGTACCACTGCCTCGAGAGCAGCTAAAACTAAATCATTGCAACCTCCGAGTAAAGGGCAACCCCAAGTTTCTGTCCAGCCTGGCACACCAGATCACAGTAGATCATCATCCCTTGCTGCAAAGTCACCAGGAAGGCCAAGCGTAACAGGAATACCTGCAACCACACCATCATCAACCTCGAAGCGGATGTCAGTCTTGCCAGGTACTTCCCATGCAAGTGGACTTGGGGCTAGAACTATCAGCCCTACGGATACTCGAAGAGCCAAACGATTATCGACTCATCAAGGAACTCCTACTGTTTCGCCAGGTACACCGCCAACTCCACAGCCTGACTCGTACCCGGCATTTACTCCTCGAGGGTCTTCAAGGTCCCCTTCAATGTTACCTCGAAAGGTGCCCACACCTTCATCATCTCGAACTACCCCGGATAGTAACCGTAAGTACAATTCTGCAATTTCAGCTGTGTCGAGTTCAAGCTGTAACACATCTCGAAATACTACAGGTTCCTTACAGCCTCGAGTGTCGTCACTTGCCCCCACAACATCAAGGTTACCAACACCTAAGTCGCGAAATGTTCATAGCTCAGCTGGTAATAATGAGGAGGAGGATGTTCCGCCAGTCCCTGCGATACCCAAAGCGTATGAATCCCCCAAAGATTCTCCTATCGAAACTCCATTTTTCGCCAAGAGGAAGTCAAGCATGCCGTTTGATGCTAGTAGTATTAACAGTACTTCAACAAATAGCATTTCTGGTAGGAACTCTGCACGTGAACCAACCAAGGTTGAACGAGAGCCAAAGAGATCGAGGCATGCGCCACCTAGCTCGAATTCAGATCTTGAACAGCAAAAGCAAAATACCACGACTCCGAAGAAAAAGAACCTTCAACCACTTCGTCTGCCGCCCTTGAATTTGTTACCATTAAGTGCTCCCACGGCTGCAAAAGCTGCCGCCATATCCAATCCTGAGCCCTTACCAAATGGTGCCATTACACCTCCGCCTAAGCGGACAAATACAAAGACCCCAAGTTCACCCATGACAGCTTCCAAGACCTCGTTCTTTTCCCGTCGTAACGAAGATAAATCGGAGCACCATATGCCTAAAATGCGGAGCAATAGTTCTATCCATCATAGACCTACGGAATCTTCGCAAGTATTTGGAAGTAACAGTGGGACAAAGCCCATACCTATAGCTAATAACCGACCACCGCCGCCTAGGGAAACCTCCCCATATCTATCCTCATCTCTTCCCAAGAATAACGCTGGCCAGCATCTCATGCCTCGGTCCAAAACTAGTGGCGATTTCACTACAATGGACACTTCGACGACTGAAAACAAGCCGGCTAGGTTGACTGGGCCACGTGCTTTGAAGGTGAATAGATTAGCTAAAACAGATACTCCTGCGGAAGTTTCAAGTCCGGAAGAACCCCCAACACCATCTTCAACAACTTCGTTGCGTAGAAAGTTGAGTCTTGGTTGGAAGCGATCTGGATCTAAGAACACGGCCAGCAATGCTCAAGCAACAGGCGGAAGAGAAGCCAATCAACCACCTCCTCCACCAAAACATGATAATATGCCACCACCTAGGTTGCCTGCTTCTGCTACCATGAATAATATGAGTAGCAATAGTAAAGAAATTCCTAGTCCTAGTCCCTCGGTCAAGTCAACCACTACTACTACTTATCTCAATTCCAGTCGAAGGAAGAGCTCAGTCTCGAGCCTTAATATGATCACAGGTCACGACAGAACAAAGAGTGATAGTTGGGGCTTAAATCGAAACAGTCCGAAGAAAGAGACATCAACTGACTCTATGGCTTCTGAGAGGAATATCCCGACCGCGACTTCCCGAACTACGTCTTCTGTTATGCATAGAATGCTCAATCCAAAGGCTTCTAGTACTAGTATCAGACATCAAGATCACTGGACAGCGGAATTGGACAAGGATGATCTTCTGGCGGAAGAGGAGATGAAGAAGCTCGGCAATAAACGAAAAGAAACAGAGACGGCAGCTCGCCAATTAGATGCTCTAAGAAAACGTGCTACTCCTAAGGATCGAGCCAACCCTCAACAGGCTCTCAAACTTGTCTCGCATCTCAACATCTACGAGAAAGGGGAAATTGTCGATTACAAGGACATTTACTTCTGTGGGACTTCTAGTGCAGCTAAACACGTTGGTCAGCTTCAATCCGATGCCGCTAATTTCGGGTATGATGATGAAAGAGGGGATTATCAAATCGCCACTGGAGATCATCTCTCATATCGTTATGAGATTATCGATGTTCTTGGTAAGGGAAGTTTTGGTCAAGTCGTAAGATGCATCGATCACAAGACTGGAGGATTAGTAGCTATTAAGATCATCCGGAACAAGAAGAGATTCCATCAGCAAGCCTTGGTAGAGGTTAATATCCTCCAAAAGTTGCGCGAATGGGTATGTAATTCCAAACACTTTGCTCAGTAACCAGCTAACAATTATAGGATCCTAAAAACAAGCACAGCATGGTCAACTTTGTTCAAAGCTTCTACTTCCGCGGTCATCTTTGTATCTCTACTGAACTTTTAGATATGAATCTCTATGAGCTTATCAAAGCTCATTCTTTCAGAGGTTTCTCGCTTAAGATCGTTCGACGATTTACAAAGCAAATGCTTAGCAGTTTGTTGCTTTTGAAATCAAAGAAGGTCATTCATTGTGATCTGAAACCCGAAAATATTCTCCTTGCACATCCTCTTCATTCGGAGATTAAGGTTATTGACTTTGGGTCAAGTTGTTTCGAGAACGAGAAGGTATATACATATATTCAATCCCGATTTTATCGATCGCCTGAAGTTATCCTTGGTATGACATATGGTATGCCGATAGACATGTGGAGTCTTGGATGTATCTTGGCGGAACTTTTTACTGGAGTGCCCATCTTTCCTGGTGAAAACGAACAGGAACAACTCGCCTGCATCATGGAAGTGTTCGGTCCACCGGAGAAGCATTTGATTGAGAAAAGTACTCGCAAAAAGCTTTTCTTTGATTCT